CTGATCCACAGATAATTAAGTCTTGCCAAGCTTCTCATGTTGTCCAAATCTGGCAGAGTGGCTTTTTGGGATGGTGAACAAAATTACACAGAACCCATTGCCTCTTTGAAGGGTTGTTGGGTGATTAGTCACCCTAAAAAGCTGCCCTTACAAGGTTCTAACAGCATGAAAAGCTGTGCTGGACTGGCAACCTACAGTCCATCGGTGCTACAACTTACAGTAGTGTAGTGGTTAAGAATTGTAAATCATTACTACTATGCAGTCCCCTCTGATGGGAATGAAACAGAAAAGATCCCATAGAAGGAGAAAAAGATGCTCATTGCTGCTGGGGAGAAAGAAAGGAACAGTACACAATGAAATGGTTTCACCAAGCCTTTGGCTCTTAATATTTGCTTGGCCTGTTTTAGAGAAAGTTCTGTTTTTATTCTGATTTGTTTGTATTTGATTTTATCTAATTGTGCCTTCACGTGCAGAGAATTGATAAATACATCCAATTAACCATAAAAATAAATACTTGGTTAAAATTGTGAGTCAACTGATCAGATAAACAGTTGTCCTCAATAAGGCAACAAATTATTTAAATTGTTTCTTTTAAATGTTTGTACTTAAAAAAAACACTGGGCAATAGCTGCTATTTCAGAAGAATTCCTCCGTCTGATCACACAAGAGGGAATGCTTCTTCTAAGAGGGTATCACATGTCCATAACAGACTGAAGCACTTCCTCATCATGACAGGCATGTAACTAGTAGTATTTGCAAAGCATTCATAACACTAAATTATGACTCGTACCCAAGAGTCAGGTGAGATTTCAGAATTGAAGGAAATTATGCCTATACGTCTTATTTAAATGTAGCTAAAAGCTAATATGACTATGTGGTTCAGGGACAAAGCAAGCTCCCACCTGAGCACCGGAGCTTTTTGCAGGCGTTGGCTGTGTATCTGCAAAAATTTCTCCATTCATAAGGATTAGAAAATCAACAACTCAGATTCTTCATAGTGTGTTTTCAGACTGTCAATTTTTCCAAAAACTTCTGTATGACACAAACTTTATGGAAAGACTGACATTGCCAAGACAAAAGGAAAGATGTGCGTTAAAGGAAGTCAAACGCACATCAAGAAAAAAGAATAGTCATTATGTCATTAAATAAACTGAAAAATACATGTAAACTACTTGTATAATGTTTGATATCATAAGATTCCCTGAGTGCGTCACTTATTAGAGTTTCAACACAGGATTATCCTGTGGATCTAAACTGCAAGCACAGCTAAAGGAAGAGCAAGAGAGGGTCTTGACCAAATGAGGTGCCTATGCTTACGAAATAGGAATCAGAACAAAATTCAGTTCATGTGGTAGGAACTGTGAGGGCTGAGTATGCAGTGAGACAGGCAGAATTACAAGCTCTTAGACAGAGAAAACTGCAAAATGAAGAAATCAAGGAATTGCCCTGGCAGTGGTGATGGGAGACCTGGCTGCCAAAGGTCATTTCACAAGGTGCTCATCTTCAAAACCCATTCCCCCACCACAAGGATTCTGTCAACAGTGCTGACTCCCCCTTCCCCACCTAGGAAAACTCAGGGCTGAGCAGGAAAAACTGAATTCAGAGAATAAGCATCACAGAAAGAAAGTTGGCGCTTGCTGATTTCCACTCTACAGGACTTCTTTACACATCTTAATTGTTGAACCTCAGCTTGTTCTTGTGGTACTGTGAATATTTCTCTTAAGTCAATTAAATATTCAGTAAGTCCAACCTTTACATTAAAAATAATTTTGTGGAGGAAATAAAGAAACTACTCTGTTGGCACACACAGACACACCCTTCAAATCCAGTTCTGACCACCAGTTAAGTTTACCAAAGAGAAACCTTCCAAATATGTTGATCCATATCTTAGGACATTCTTCTTGCTCTCTTACCTTGCCATGATGGATAACACCCTGAAAGACAAACTTGCCCCATCTGCCACATGGACCAAAAGATGAACGAAAATCTTCAAATATGGATGGCAAACCCAAGATGGACTGGTTTGCTACAAGTCTTCACAGAAAGATGGGCAGTCTTCTGTGCAATAAAAGAGAAACAAAGATAGGAAGAAAACAGAATGGTAGTAGATGCATTGCCCTTTCAATGGATGAAAGAGATAAAATATACATATTAGGCCCACAAGCTTTAAATAAGAATGTCTATTAGATTTAGCTATAATCCTGTGTACACTTAGGGTAAGGTTCGCTGAACTCAAAGGTGCTTAATGCTGAATATAAATATACAGGACTGCCTTGTAAGTGGATTAATGAGGTAAGGTAAATTTTAATTGACAAAGCAGAATGTTAAGGGCACATTTATTTCTAAGACTATTCTGGTTGCTATTGATAACTGTAACACGAAATGCACAAGAAAATATTAAAGCTAGCCTTTTTTCCAACATGATAGTTTTGCTTATTGTATCTCACTTTTCTTTCCATGTCTCAAAAAAAAATCCCCATAAGTAACATTATTTTATCATTTACACATTTGCAGTTTAATAAATTAATCATACCAACAGATTAAAACTATTTAACAAAATATCTCATATATGTATATAAAATTCTGCAACAGGCCTTTGGGTCTCTTCCTGAAATCTAGGCTATGTGAGTTAATTCTCTGACACCTGTGTTGCTGTGTCCCTAACAAGCTTGCAACATTTTAGGAGTTCATTATGCCAAAGGCTTATCTAAATATATTCTTGGAAAAGCAACATCTAAGATACTGTCTCTAGATTTCTCTGATTGCAACTTGAAATACTCTACTGATCAGTCCTGGATAATTTAAAGTCCAAAGGTTCAGTATGTCACAGAAAATGTCATCAGAATTCTTAGTTTTTGAACGGCAATCAAAAAAGTTAAGCCTGCATTCACCCTACTATGAATACCTGGGCACACTTTGGAAGGACCTCTCCAATACTGCCTCTTGAAAGAATCCAGAATCTTCCCCCTAGTAACTCCAAAGGGTTCATATAACCTATAGGGCACAACTTCCCATTGACTGAAAGAAAACAGTAGCTCTGAATCATGAAACTAAAACTTTACATTCAGTTTTGGTGAAACCATTCATGTTATGCTTTAAGGCTATATTACTTTAGGTACAGAGTGGAAATTCAGTTTAATATAGAGTATGTTTTTATTAGCCTCTTTTTGGGGTTAATAAAGCTTGAGGTTAATAAAGAAAGCATGCCTTTTTCTTGTTAGACACCTGCCTATCAATGGCCCATCACAACAGCATAGCATTTTTTAAAATTCTGGTTTATTGTGAGTAAGGCAGCAAACTAGTGCTGCTCACTCAATTGCTCCTGCAGCATATTGTGACCCTTTTCATCCATGGTTTGGCTAGCATTATGTGCAAAGGTTTGCTTCATAAAACTCATAAAACTCTTCTCATCATTACACATAGCCAAGGTCAATAGTATGATTGTAATAGTCCAGCCAACAAGAAGAGATGCATAGAATTTGATGTATCGGACAAAATCCAAATTGGATAGTCAAATATTTTGTTAAGTATTCAAGATCACAGAAATTACTGAAAAATAGCTATTTTAATAAAATGTTCCTTGGCTATACTTCATCAATGCTTATTTTACTACTAGCACAATCATGAGTACTGCGACCTAGTAAACAGCACAAGAATTAAAGACACATACATTTTGGAATCTAGCTGAGGGAATCTACTTTGCAGATTGCCAACTCCTTAAGAGGGGCCTGTTCCCTTTCTGATTATGAAAGTATCACAAAATCACAATATTATTAGCATCATTATTAATAGCAGAACACTGTTTTGAATCATCTTCGCTTGAGATTTTAAGAACTGATAATCTTTCAATGGGTGGCACTAACCTTGTGACCAGCCTCTTGTACAAATTCCAGTTCCCCCACCAGGATAGCACTGCTGACAAACAAGAAGCCTTTCTTGTAGGCTATTACTGGAATACCTGCAAGAATCTGGAAGCTAGACAAAAACCCCACTGATGAAAATTGCTCGGATAATCTGAGCACAAAGCTTGCTATAGAGAATCCTGTCCCTTGGAACCATTGAAAAAGTCCAGAGGTATCTGTAAGTAGAGCCTATCTACAAGTGTAGTAACCTTTGAAATTTCTTGGAATACATGACAATAGATTTTCCAATAAAACTAATGCAATACTAATATAAAATTAATACAATACTAAATTAATACTGATAATGCAAATCAATCAAGAACTGTCTTATCCATATTTTAAACCAACTAAGTTCCACAGTAGTTAAAAAAATTGACCTATGGCCCAGAATGCCCCCATAAACTCACAGGGTCTGTACAGAGCACTGAGGATGAAAAAGAGAAATCAGGGAATGGCAGTGGGGGACTGAGCTTGCTCTTTCTCTCCCCAAAACAAAACTGCCTCCTGCCTTAAGGATACTGTCAACTCAGACCTCCAGCCATCTTGCCTGATTGGCATTTTGTGCATCTGTTTACAATTCAGTCTCTCTTGAGCAATGAACCACTGGAACAAACGTTGGTTCATATACTCAAGACACATTTATATCTTTCAAGTTTGATAGTCTCAACCCCCTCCACTGGTTTTTTAAAAGGAAATGGAGGAAAATGTTAAAATACAGTAATTCTGTGTCTGTTTTTAAAATTGAGAAAGTTCATGTGCAGAACACAATTCTACCCTCCAAGGGCAGTTTCGCTAAAAGCTCACATCTATGTTTTGAGAGAGGCAAAAAACAACACCTTAATACAATATAACCCTTAAGAGATGAGATACCACAATGAAACTGATATATATGTATGTGTGTGTGTGTGTGTGTGTGTGTGTGTGTGTGTGTGTATGACAATTCACCATTTGAAGGTCAAACCCTACTCATTTTTCTGGAGGGGAAAGGAAAAATACAAACATATTGTGATACACTATCTGAAAAAAGAACTCCTGAATACTAGCTTAAATGAGCAAATACATTCATAGAATTGGGTGATACATAATAAAGTTTAATTTTTCCATATAATGACCAAGTTGATGGAAAGCCAGTTTATGTTTAATTACTGCCTGAACAAATGAAATCCAAATTCTTCCACAAGGCAGAGAGACTATTACTCACAAAAAAGTTTCTCTGATTACCTTGGAAATATATTTCTTCAGGAGCTATCCTTTTGTATCTATCACTGTTTTGAGAAAAAGCAGAGTATAGTTCTTAGTGAGACACTTTCAAGAAAATGAACAGCAATACGGATTAACTACAGGAAGCCTCACATCACATCTCCTAAATGATCAACTGTCTTCTGGCCCTATTTTAGTACCCATTTAATTTTGGGTCTTATTGACTTGTAGGGTTCATTTCAATGTAATGTTCTTGGCTTAACCAACCATAGTTTTATTAAGCCAAGAAGAAGCATTGGGGCCTGCATGATTTTCTTACAGACTAGCGTCAAAAAGCCAAAGGCAGCATACAAAGGGAGGAAGGACATAAAGAGCTTGATTCTCATTCCTACTTAACAGATTATGGGGACTGGCAATGCTAATGCCTTAAACTAAAAACACTAATCCTCAAACAAGTGGTTTGCACAACAGTCATCTTCCACAAGAATTTAAAGGCCATTTAGTTTCCAGTAAAGAAGTCCAGAAAAATGAGGGCAATAGCTACATCGCAATACACGAGCTCCCCTTGCCATAAATAAATAAATAAATAAATCACAATTGGGATGCAACAAAAGTAATTAGGGCACAACATAGAATAGGAATGCAGACATTTGTTACGCAGATCTCATGTTTGGGCTGACAAAACAAACAAATTAGGATGTAACAGCAGCATGTATAAAATGACTACTTTGTCATATGTTATAACCCATTTTATCAGTTGATTTCAATAATGAAAAAAGACACTCTCATTTTTCTCATCCATACATCCATATGTAGTGCCACCAGCACAGATAACTTAATATAGCAATAATAATTTTAGCTAAAATTATTTTGCTAAAATCTGCAGATATTGCTCTTGAATGTTTAATAAATGCCTTTGCTGATTGCAATGAATAATCGATAATCTGAGTAAACTCTCAAATAAATTAAAATGAGCACTGTAAGAGATTCCACTCTGACCCAGCCAGTATACCTGATCACTGCCCTGCAACATCCTGCAGTCAGGGGTGTCTGCAGCCATACCAGGGAGTAGGCATAATGGGAACTTCATTGCTTCCACTAAGAGAAGTCATATTTTAAACTGTGGATCAGCTCCTTCTATACTGCTTTAGCTTTAAGAAAGCCACTAAAGCAATGCATTTGCCAATCTTACACAGCACTTACCTGTAAAAAAGTGCCACTCATTTTGGACCCTTCACCCCCTCTAGCACATGCTGACTACATTGAAGACTGACTGCCAATACACACTGTCGAGCTCATCCATGCAACTGGGTATATGGGAATACCAGCTCATGGAAAACGTTAGCATAAACTGACCTATACACCCATGGAGCCACAGCTATTTCCACGACTGTGTGTAGATTCCCCCTCCCCTGTGTTCTAGGTATGTCTAAAACATAAGGGAAGTCTGGTATCTTAGATTGGAAGAGACAGGGACTGGAAAGAGGAGGGAAAAACCCTTGCACCAAATTCTTTAGTCAGAACCGAGTTTTTTTTTCCTCCTGTGCTCTGAGTTTCTTTTAAAGAGACCAAGTACATAGTCTGGACTCTATGCTTACTCAAGATGTTTAGGCTGGTACTCCAGGAGCAGTCCTATCTGGAGAGGACAAAACTTGCCTCAGTTATCCATGAACTGGTAACATCTAGGATGGACTACTGTTATGCACTGTACACAGGGCTGCCTTTGAAGATTGCTTAGAAATTTCAGCTAGTGTGGACTGTATCTGCCTTGATGCTGGTAAGAGCAGAGGTGGTCGATCATACAGTGCCTATACTATGCCTGCTGTACTCGTTACCAATGCATTTTCAAGTCCAATTTAAAGAGCTGTTTCTGACCTTTAAAATGATTTAGAATCAAATTCCTTGAAGGACCACCTTCCTCCATATCAACCTGCCCATGCTTTAAGAAAATCAAGA